AGGCAAGCAGCGGGCGGGTCAGGAGAGGTCTGGCTCGCCATGTGGTCTCCTCCGGGGCAGGAGGCAGGCAGGAATCGAACTCATGCGTAAGTGGCTTCAGATTCTCAGTGCTGTGCTTTAACACGCTGCGCCACCAGGGAGGGCCTAACCAATGTTTTTAATCTCTTACATGAACTATCATCTCTGGAAGCTCAATTTGATTCTTTTTAAAAAATTTATATTTTCTCTGTCTTTAACTTTCTAAAAAATTAGGTAACATTGCATTATATAAGTTTCAGGTTTTCATAGTATTGAATCAACATATGTATCGTACATTAAGTTCACCTTTAACTTTTGAAAACATGAGATACATTTATAACAACTTAAATGTTTGGTAATTCTCAGTTCTGGAATAATTTCAGTTTATTAATTTTACCCATGTTTTAACATATTTCCTGCTTCTTTGCGGACTGCTAAATTTCCTTTTAAGTTTAACCTTGACTCTATTATATTTTTAATAGAAATTTAAATTATTTCAAGGATACAATATGATGGTTCATTATACATACATAGGAAAATGACTGCTATGATTTAGTAAAATATCTATTCCTTTTAAATATTTTTTGGTGGGGGGAGATCATCTGAAATTTATACTTTAAATATAAATTTAAATATAATACATTATTTTTAAATATAGTTATAATTTTATGGATTAGTTTTTGAGGCTAATCTAAATCTAACCTAATTTTGTATATTATGGCCAGCATCTCCCTACTTTCCCCACCGCATTACCCCTGGTAACCACTGGGGTTCTTCTACTTCTCCCTCTGCTTCTCTGAAATTTTTGTAGATTTCACCTAGTAGTAATGTGAGTATTTTTCTTTCTGCATCTGGCTGATTTCACATTAGTACAACACCCTTCAAGTTCATCTATGTTGCAAATGGGAGAATTTCCTTTTTCAGAGATGAACAATATTCAATTGTGTGTGTAAGTATGTACATACATATTCTGTACACACGTATGACTGTTCCTTTATCCATTCATCCATTGGTGGACACATGTATTGTTTTACTACCCTAGCTATTGTGAATAATATACAATAAACATGGGAGCACAGTTATTTATTTGATGAACTGAATTCATTTCCTTCTGCATATCAACTCAGAAAAGGGATTGTTATAATCCCATTTTTAATATTTTTGAGGAACCCCCATAATAGATGAACACATATTTTCACCAACAGTATATTAGATACCATTTTGATAATAGCCATTCTAACTAACAGTGGTGATATCTCACTGTGGTTTTGACTCACATCTCTGATTATTATTAATGTTGAACATCTTTCATGTACCAATTGATTTTTCACAAATGCTTTTTTTTTTTTAATATTTATATATTTACGCATGTAAGAACTGGGCTACAGGCTAGAGGTGCAGGGAGTAAAAGGATTCACCAGAGACAGAGTGGGGAACAGACAGGTAGAATGACTGAAATACACTGCTGAGGGGAGCAGTGGCTGGACAGGAGAGGTCTGCCATGCCATGTGGGTCACTTTCCCTGACTGAGAATCAAACTTGTGCTGCCATGGCTGCAGATCGCTTCATAATGCTGTACTTTTTTTGAGTTTTTTATATATATATATATATTCTTGCATCATTTTGTGCATTTTTTCATATCAGTTATAATCCCCATGGGCTTCCCATCACCAAATCATCCATGTGCCATCACCATAGTCCAGCATAATGCTGCACTTTAACCTGTTGCACCACAAGGGAGGGCCCACACATGTTCATTTTTGTATCCTGCCACTTTAAAAAAAAATTAATGAATGAATAAGTAAAGATTTATTTATAAATGCATACAGAAATGGGGTACAGGCCAGAGGTGCAGAGGCGGTGAGAGGATTCACCAGAGACAGAATGGGGAACAGAACAGGCAGATCAACGAAGTACACTGCTAAGGGAACAGAGGGCGGGCCAGGAGAGGTCTGCCA